CTCTCTCTCTCTCTCTCTCTCTCTTCGTGATCGGTTTGCTTTTACGGCCATGCGAGTCTTGGAGTCGGCTAGACTCTCGTGTGTGCGCCTAATAATCGCCGCCATTCGGGCGATCCAGTCGTCAAGCGCAGGACAACGAGTTTCAAGGTGCAACCGCGACGGTCGTAGGAAATCCGCAGGTACACGAGGGTGGTAACTGAGGTCGCAATAGAATGGTGACATCCCTATGGTTGGCGAAACGGCGTGGTTGTATGCAATCCCCGCATGGGCTAAGTGTAACTCTCACTGCTGGTCACCCCTAATAAACTTTCGGAGGATATTACCGAGAGTTTCATTGGTGACCTCAGTCTGACCACCATCTGAGGGTGGTAAGATGATGAGAAGCAGAGCTGGAATCCGTACACCACGTCTAGGCGTCGCAAGAATGTGTTGGTAAAGCGCGGGTCACGGTCGGAGATGATGCTTTGAGGTAAGTCGTGATCTCTCACGACTCCATTAAAGACGATGTCGGCTACCTCACGAGCGCTAATGCGATAGTGGCACAGGACAAAACATGCACGCTTCGTGAAGCAATCGATGGCGACGAAGATAGCATCATGACCGGGCTCAGTGGGTGGAAGAAGGGGACCAACAAAATCCGTCAAGATGGACTTCCAACGACCCTCAGGTATGGGTAGGGGTTGAAGTAACCCATACGGAAGGTGGTTCACACTGTTCACCTCCTGGCAGGTAGGACACTCCTGGATGTAGGCTTTGACGAAGTCCTTGGACTTCGGCCAGACGTATAGGCGGCAAACACGAGTCAACGTCTTGTGGAAACCCATATGATCGGCAGCTGCCTGGGTATGGAACTCTGCTACGGCCTAGGCGCAGAGTTGTCCGGTGGAGGGAACACAGATACGTGGTTCTAGTTGACCGGATCTGCCATGCCAGTATACGAAACCGTTCTCACCGAGGAAGTATGAGGGAATGGTCTTGCCACTCCGTAGTGTCACGTGGATGAAGCGATAATCCGAGCAGTGGCGGTACTGAGTGTGATATGCGTCGATCACCAACTGATGAACAATGGTGATGGAGATGGCAGCAAGATGGATGGGTTCCTGATTGTGATCAGGACGACGAGACAAGGCATCGACGACGCGGTTCGTTTCACCCTTAATAGGCTGAGTGGTGAAACTGAACTCGAATAAATCATGCCACCGACGTGCCTGTCGAGGGGGAAGTTTGGGCTTCTTGAGGAAAGCCTGGACAACTGAGTTGTCCGTGCGCACCGTGAAGGGCGCCCCGTGCAGAGAATGAGGCCAATGAAGGGTAGCATAAACTACTGCGAGAATCTCATGTTCATCGGAAGTGTAGTTTATCTCGGCAGGCGGGAGCTGATGGGAGTAAAAAGGGATCGTACAATCCCCAGTGATGGTCGGGGAGTAAGCGACGGGAGGACTGTCAACACCGCGCATCAGAGGGATCCTGTCGTATGAGAAATCCGGGAAGAAAACGTCGCGATACTCTCGAATCAAATCGTGAACGGCGGGCTCCAAGTCGGTCGTGAACTGTGTGAGTTCCTCAACATCTGCGTCGACACGAGACGTATGTGTGGACTCGGCGATGAACGACGTAGGAACTTGTGATGTCGAGGGGGTATCCACACGCTGAGGGGTGGATGTAGAGATAAGGTCGCGAAGATGTAGGAAAGGTCA